AATAGGCTACCATTGTGGTTTCTTTCTGCTTCTTGGAAAATACCTCAGAATCTTCCATTGTTCCTCACAGCATATAGGAATCCAAGTGTATCCCATTTCACTCATACAGTGAATGCTGTTTGAGCTCAGCACTTTGCTGGGTACTGAGGAAGTCCTAGGAAGCTGACTGTAGTGTAATGAAAGGCAATCTAAAGTTGTGGAGGTAGGTTGAGTGGCACATGCCTGTAATCCCAGAATTCAGGAGTTTAGGCAGGAGGATTACTGCAAATTAGAGGCCAGCCCAGGTTACATAGTAAATTCAAGGTCAATTAGGGTTGCAACGCAGGACTGTCTAATAAGAATAGAATAAAGCTGTGCATGGCATGACAGAAAAGGGCTCAGCAGAGGTGTGTTGACTCACCACATTAATGAAGTGAGGAAGCAGTTCAGGCTCTTACCTGCCAGGCCCAGATATTTCTTAAAAATCTTTACTGTGTAGTTTAAAGATTCTTGGATGTAGAACCAGGAGACAGGAGTCCATGCTTGGCCACTACTGTTTGAGTCTCCCTACCTCTCCTGGCTGGTCATTTCTGAAGTGTCATGGAAGACAGTGGGAAAAGTGCTCACTCCTGCCACTGTCCAGCATGCTCGGGCTTTCCCAGAGGAGTGGTTTGTATCAGTCTAGGATCTGAAGGTATAGAGCCGATCCTGGAGACTCAGGTAATTTCTGTATTAGCTTTGTGACCTGGTGTAACACGACCTCGGGTAGTGTCTTTCCTGAGGCTGCTTTCTTACTCACCCTGTCTGTCCCAGTACCCATGCTGGCTAAGTTGCATACACATATAAGAAAGCTCAAGGAATAGGTTCTTCCCAAGTTTTTGCCAGCCACTGCCATTTTCCCTTTCTTCATTTTCACTTCATCACTTTGGGAAAAGAAGTTAACAAATGTGATTTGAGCTGAACATTCAGAGGCAGAGATAGGTGAATTTTTATGAGTTTGAAGCCAGTCTGGGCTACGTAGTTCCAGGAGCTGGCACCTTATCCAATTTCAGTCCATATTTGGGGTGATAGAGTACTGGTAGCAGCCTACCTTTGAAGTGCTTCTAATTGGAATAAATAGGATGCATTACTGCTGACTTTAGATCTTTGTGCAGGCTTTGTTTAAAGTGAAAAGTCAGGGGTTTTGTTTGTTTTTCCTTTTGAGACAGGATTTGTCTGTGTAACATCCCTGGCTGTCCTGGAACTCACAGAGATCTGCCTGCCTCTGCCTCCCTAGTACTAGAATTAAAGGTGTTTGCCAACACCGCCCAGCTGTAAAATAATTTTTGTTCCTATTTCATAACTGTAATTTTGCTCCTGTTATGAATTGTAATGTAAATACCTGACATGCAGGATATCTGATCTGCCACCCATGTGAAAGGGTTGTTCAACCCCCAAGGGATGCGATCCCAAGCTGAGAGCCACTGCTCTAGTTCTTGGCTGTTATACTGCTTATGTTTTTAATTCCATCTTACTCTTTGGGGACACCACACTGTGATTGGCCCATTTAGACTACTTTGACCATTGCTTAGTCCAACATTACACTTCTTTCTAAACAAAAGATAAGATTAACTCTTTATAAACTAGTTATTCTCCATCACATTCCAAGAAGGTCTGATCTTCACTATAACCTGGTTCCTGCTAGTCTTCCAAAACTTCATGTTCAGCTTCATATCACCATAGTGCCCATTCCCAAGCATACTCTGGACTTCTGGGCCTTGAAGTTTATTACTTTCTGTTTGACTCTCTCCATTCCTACCTCTGTTGACTTGATTCCTTTTGTGAATTGGATGTAGGGAGGGCAGAGCTTGAAAATCAAACCCAGGGCCTAGTGCATACTAGACAAATATTGTGCTACTAAATTATACCTCAGCCCCTCTCTCTACTCTGCATGAAATGAGAGCTCACACTGTAGCCCAGGTTGGCATTAAAATTTTAGCAATCTTCTTCCAAGTCTCCTGAGGGTTAAGATTACTGGTTTGAGCCAATATGCCCCATTACTTGATCAATTCTTTTCTTCCCTAACACCATGTGTTGCTTTACATGTGTCAACTACTTTTTCTCAGGCTTAACACTATGTGCTTTTGAAATCCACTGTTTCACTGGGCATGGTGGAACATGCAAGAAATCCCAGCTTTGGGCCATATTCTGAATTCAAGGTCAGCCTGGGTAACATAAGACCCTTATTTCAAAAAAGGGGACAAAAGAGGTCCAGGTTAGCCTGGGTCACATAGACAGACCCTTTCTCAACCTAGTCTTACTCAGTTTCTATAACAAATACATTTTTATGCTTTTTCACATAAGACTTAATATTTATTGATCATGTCTTAGGTTTTTGTGTATTAAAAGGAAACAGCAGGACATTGGGGGCACACGCCTTTGGTCCCAGCATTCGGGAGGCAGAGGCAGGCAGATCTCTGAGTTCGAGGCCAGCCTGGTCTACAGAGCGAGTGCCAGAACAGGCTCCAAAGCCATACAGAGAAACCCTGTCTCAAAACACCAAAACCAAACCAAAACAAAACAAAAACAAAACAAAAAACAGTAAGTACCTGAGAGATGGCTTTGCTAAGAGCATATACTACATTTACAAAGAACCTGAGTTGAGTTCCCAGGTTCACAATCACTTGTAATTACAGCATCAAGGCATCTTACACCCTCTTCTGGCACCTGCACCCATGTGCACATTCCTCCCCCATAATTAAAAACAAAAATCTTAAAATAAACATATTGGAATATACCTTCATCCTTTATTCCTGCCTATAGCTAACAGGTGTTTGATAAATGTTTTACTTGATCATTTTACTACCAAGTCTATATATCATAATTAGTAGGAAATTCCTAGCTGTCTTCAGTCCATGGGCTCTTAGAGGGTCAGTGTAGGTAAAAAGGTAATGACATCTGCAAAGCATTAGTAAAGTAACATCAGCACTTCCACATGTGTTAGGGCCATTCAGAAGGCAGAGGCAATCAGATTTCTGTGAGTTTGGGGCCAGCCTGGTCTACCTAGTGAGTTCCAAGTTAGCCAGGTAACACAGTCCCTGTCTCAAAAGGTGGTGCAGGGTGAACAAGGTACTCTAATGTAAAGCCAGCTTCATACCTGTTCTGAGCTCAGGGTCCCTGCTGTCTCTTGAAGCACAGATTTGTTTTGGAGCTACCTAGTGACATTGTGCCAAGATTTCTGTTCTCAAGTTCACTGGTATAGATTTTAGCCATATGGTGAACTGGGTAAATATGAGACTATGGAACAGGACATTCAACTGCCAAAGAGAAAACTGTCATGAGGAAGGCTGTAGAAACCACACAGGAAAGAGTGAAGTAAGGACAGGGACTCAAGGTAGTTTTGCTGTTGTAGGAGGTTCATCTCTGTAGGAAGATAAGGGCTGGGAAGCTCTCCATGGAGACCTTAGAAAGACAGCTTCTGAGTTCTTATGGGTGATAATGCTGGAAGAAGTCTCCAACACTCTACATCCTGTTTCAGAAAATATGACTCAGAATAATGAGGAGTGCTTTTAACATTTAGGAAATATAAGACCTTGGCTAGAAGGGCCTGGAAGACTATTTGCCCCTTGTTAGGCTAAAAAACAAACAAACAAACAAAAAACAGCAGGAGACTGAGGTCCAGGGAATTATAAATCAAGGCCATAGATCTGGTCTTTTCCCTAGACTCTCCACTAAGATTGGGTTCTGAGTTGTTTTTATTTTGTTTTTGAGACAGGGTCTCTGTGTCCTTCCTTGTCTCAGGAGTCAATTACTGTGTAGCCTAGCGTACTCTTGAACTTAAGGTAACCCTCTTGCCTCAACCTCCTAAAACTTGAAATCACAGGTGTAAGTTGCTACTATGCCTGGCTTCTGTACTCTGATGTCTTTGTTTATATTTTCATTTTATTTAAAATTTTTATTTATGCAGGTGTTTTGCCTATATGTATGTCTATGTACCATGTATGTGCCTGGTGCCATTAGAAGCTAGAAGAAGACATCAGATCTGGAATTGGAGTTACACACAATTGTGAGCTGCCATATGAGTGCCGAGAATTAAATTTATGTCCTCTGGAAGAGCAGCCAGTGTTCTTAAACTGCTGAATCATCTTTCCATCCCTTACTTATTTTTGTTTGTTTGTTTGTCTTTTGTTTTTCAAGACAGAGTTTCTCTGTGTAACAGCCCTGGCTGTCCTGGAACTTGCTCTGTAGACCAGGCTGCCTTGAACTCACAGAGATTACCTAATGACTTCCTTCTGAGTGCTGGGATTAAAGGTGTGTGCCCTCACTGCCTAGCCCTATCCCCTACTTTTTAAGAAGTCAAAGACAATCCCTTTGCAGGCTATTGTGTCAGTCAATTTTTGTTAGTTTTTGAGACAGAGTCTGATTAGGTAGTGTAGACCAGACTGGGGGCGGCACTTTTAAACTAGTACTAATCTTACCTTATCCTTCTGCTTCCAGGTCTAGAATTATAGAAATTCACCACTATATCTGACACTCATGGGGGGGGGGGAGAGAAGGAAGAGGAGGAGGGTGAAAAGGGGTTTTGTTAGGTGAAAAGAGAAAGAAAGGGTGCCCGGTTTTAATTAGACTGCATTTATCAAGGAGGAGAAAAACCCACCCCCCCGGGGGGGGAGGGGCGGGGGGGGGGGGGGGCGGGGGGCCCAGGAGCCCTCTCTGGCGCTCGGACAGGAAGAGGGATCGGAATGAATTTCCTGGTGTTCATCTGTCCGGTTGAGAGTTATTTCTCCCTGAATAACATCTATTACTGGTGTCACTTTTTGTGGGGGGGGGGGGGGCCCCCCCCCCCCCACCCTCTGGTGTTGTGAAGGACTACCTCAAAGGTTTAGACTGGTATAATCTTCCTACCTCTGCTTCCAGAGTCTAGAATTATAGACATGCACCACTATATCTGACCTCATTTTTAATTAGACTGCATTTACAGGAGACAGGAGGGCGCCCCCCCCTCCGCAGGCCCCCCAGAGGGCCTTTGGGGGCCCGCAGGTCCTGCCAGCCTCGCTGGAGAGGATGCCCCCGTGTCCGTGATGGGCTGTGGGACAAGCAAGGTCCTTCCTGAGCCACCCAAGGATGTCCAGCTGGATCTGGTCAAGAAAGTGGAGCCTTCTAGTGGCGATAAGAATGATGTGTACAAGCACTTCATCACAGAGGTGGACAGTGCTGGCCCTCTCAAAGCTGGGTTCTCAGCTACTAGTCAATATGCACCTCCCTACCCTGGTGTTCCCTCTACTGGCCACATGGAGCCTCCCTCAGAACCACCACGCAGGGCCAGGGTGGCAAAGTACAGGGCCAAGTTTGACCCACGTGTGACAGCTAAGTATGATATCAAGGCCCTGATTGGCCGAGGCAGCTTTAGCCGAGTGGTACGTGTGGAACACCGGGCAACCCGACAGCCATATGCTATCAAGATGATTGAAACCAAGTACCGAGAAGGGCGGGAAGTGTGTGAGTCTGAGCTCCGAGTGCTGCGCCGGGTGCGCCACGCCAACATCATTCAGCTGGTGGAAGTGTTTGAGACACAGGAGCGTGTGTATATGGTGATGGAGCTGGCCACTGGTGGTGAGCTCTTTGACCGGATTATTGCCAAAGGTTCTTTCACTGAGCGGGATGCCACAAGAGTGCTGCAAATGGTACTGGATGGTGTCCGGTACCTGCATGCCCTGGGCATCACACACCGAGACCTCAAGCCTGAGAATCTCCTCTACTACCACCCTGGCATTGACTCCAAGATCATCATCACTGACTTTGGTTTGGCCAGTGCCCGAAAGAAAGGTGATGATTGCCTGATGAAGACCACCTGTGGCACACCTGAATACATTGCTCCTGAGGTCCTGGTTCGAAAACCCTACACCAATTCCGTGGATATGTGGGCACTGGGTGTCATTGCCTACATCCTACTCAGTGGTACCATGCCCTTTGAGGATGACAACCGCACTCGGCTATACCGGCAGATCCTCAGGGGAAAATACAGTTATTTGGGGGAGGTGAGTTTGTCTTGCTTCTGTTCCAAGGATGTTAGGGAGGCCCCTCAGTGGGAAGGTATAGCCTGTAACTCCTGGTCAGAGGGGCCTGCTTTGAGGGTAATTGTCATGGGAGCCAGGCCGACTGTAGAAATGACAGAGACTAGCAAAGTGCCCTAGTTTGGGTTCCCGTAAATGCAAGCCTTGAGGTGAGGACCTGGGAGCAGAAAGCTTATGTGGGAGGTGGTTAAGTAAAGACAGGGGAAAGTGATGTAGGAAAGAGGGAAATCTAATGAACAAGTATTAAGAAATGGGTTGGCCAGTCAGGTCTACATATCAAGTTGCTGTATAGTGTGACCCTGTCTCAAAACAAAGGAAGTGGGCTGGGGCTGGAGCTGGGGAGATGACTCAGCTAATTATGTGATCTGAGTGCCTGGGAGCCAGTGATGGGAGGATCCCTCTATAGCCAGAGTTGCAGCTTCATTGAGAGACCCTGTCTCAGAAAATAAGGTGGGGAATGATAAAGGAAATCACCCTCTTGACTCATCAGATGTGAATGTGTAGAATTTGTACATACACACATAGACACATGTACAGCCAGAAACCAGACACACAGAAGTAAACCGCCACTGTGGGCCACTGTGGGATACTGGAACTTAGTCCCACTTTTAACCTTGTGAATAATTATATGGAATGTGTCATAGAAATGTAGTACCCAAGAGCAAGTATGTGTAAGTATAGCTACTCTCTACCTTATGAATTAAAATTTTTCTTTTGGAGGGAAGTGGGGGCTGGACAGATAGCTTTGTGGTTCAGAGTGTATATTGTTCTTGTGGAGGCCCTGGGTTCAGTTCTCAGTACTGAAGTGGTCATCTTACAACCACCTATATAACTCCAGCTCCACGAGCAACAACAAACACACCTGTGCGTGCACACACACACACACACACACACACACACACACACACACACAGTCATAATTAACAAAAAATTCTTTAGAATTTAATTTTGTCATTAAATCCCTTATATTTCTGGCCTATCATGAATGTTAACAAGTGCTGGATGAAGCCCTCAAGTAGAGAGGCAGAGGGATGCAGGCCCTGGCAATAGGAAGCTGTGACTGGGCCTAGTGGGTACGGTGAGCTCAGAGGTGGATGTTGGGGAGGGGAGGGTCTCTCCAGTGTCTGCTCCACTGGGTACCACACAAGCTAGAAAGAATATGCCCCATCCTCAGGGACACTTTCATTTTTCTTCCTTTCTCCTTTCTGAGATTTATTTGTTATGTGTCCAGTGTTCTGCCTGCATGTATGCCTGCAGGTCAGAAGAGGGCACCAGATCTCATTACAGATGGCTGTGAGTCACCATGTGGTTGCTGGGAATTGAACTCAGGACCTTTGGAAGAGCAGTCAGCACTCTGAGCCATCTCTCCAGCCTCAGGAACAGTTTCTTACTCAGTTTTGCCAACAACAGTAAGGACCCCATTATTCTCATATTTTGATTTTTAAAAGAGAAACCAGATCTGATCTTAAGATGTTAGAAGTTAAGCCGGGCGTTGGTGGCGCACACCTTTAGTCCCAGCATTTGGGAGGCAGAGGCACGTGGATCTGTGTGAGTTTTGAGGCCAGTCTGGTCTGCAGAGCTAGTTGCAGGACAAAAACCTTGTCTTGAAAAACAAACAAACAAACAAACAAACAAACAAAAAAGTTAGAAGTTAATTTACTTTGTTTTGAGACAGTTTGGCCCAGACTACCCTCACACTCAGTATATAACCAAGACTGATCTTCAACATTTAATCCTCTTGCTTCTATTTCTTCCTTCCTTTCTTCTTTTTTTTTTTGGTTTTTTGGTTTTTTGAGACAGAGTTTCTCTGTGTAGCTTTGGCACCTGTTCTGGAACTCACTTTGTAGACCAGGCTGGCTTCAAACTCACAGAGATCTGCCTGCCTATGTGCCAAATTCAAAACACTCATCTAGTTTGTATATCCAGGTTCATGGATGCTTCTGATACTTGCAAAACCTTGTTTGATTTTAGTGTTGCTGGTTGCTGTTAAGAAGGATGCTGACTGGATAGGAGGTGAGGCTGACTGCAGTAAGCTGGAAGTGCTGCAAGGTGGAGAATACCTGTGTGCTTGTGGCACAGCACACAATGCTTTGTGAGGAACATGAGCTGAGTTTTGCAGGACTATAGGACTCTGCCAAGACAGTGAGGGCCTCTCCCCCAAAGTACACAATGCTCCCCTCAGGGCTGGGGCTGCCACCGTGCTATTGTGCTTCACCTCTTTTTGTTGTTATTTTATTTTGATTTGTGTTTTACTTTTTAATGCTTTATTATTGTGTATGTACATAATGTGGTGTGTGGGTAGGTGGATGCCATAGCATGTGTGTTGAGGTCAGAGGACAACTTTGTGGAGCAGGTGTTTGTTTCTCTACACCTTTATATAGATTCTGGGAATGAAACTCAGATCATGTGTTACCTACTGAGCACATTTCAGTGCCCCTTTGCTTTGTTTCTGTGAGGGAGAGTCTCATGTAGCCCAGTCTGACCTAAAGTTCTATGTAGCCAAAGATGGCCTTGAACTGCTAGTCCTCCTGCCACCACCTCCCAAATTCTGGGGTTACAGGTGTGCATCACCACTGTCAACTGCCATTTCTGCCTTTTTGTAACCTGTGCAGAAGGGTAGGAGCTCTGGGAGCAACTGTCTTCTGTGATCTAGCTTTCCTCCCAGGAGGAAAGCACTATCAACTTCCCTGTTACTTTGCAGATGAAGTTGTAGGGTTAATTAAGTCAAGGATGTCCCTTTCTCAGGAATGGAGCCACTCTTCTCTAGCTTCCTAGAGGGTCTTTAGGTCATATGTTTAAGGACAGGAGCCTTCCTCTTCAGTGTAGCTCTGTCACAGGCACTGAGGAGGGTATCTGTTCGCACCATTCGTGAGAGGAGGATGAGAACTGTTTACACTGACACCTGTGGTATATGGTCTCTGGTGTAAAGGGTTACTATAGAGCACCTGATACTTTCCACAGGGTGATCAATGCCATGGAAAGCTCATGCCTGGTCTCCTGTCCTTTGTAAATTTTAAGTGAATGGGTATGTGCTTAAAAAATTGATTCTCACGTATTTGTGCTGAGCTAGTACTAAACAATATAGGATGCCATAAGTGAGCCAGAGAATCTTGTAGAGGCATTCAGAAAGTTCTGTGATCTTGATAGGAGGCTCAGGGGCTACATTAGGTTATAGCTGAAACTGAAGCTTTAAATAGAACACCAATGTCTGAAAGTTGAAAGGCTGCTTCCTTCTATTCTGAGCTTTGTGTGGTGCCAAGCTGTTGAGGGTCCCTGCAGATGACAGGGCAGCATGGAGCTTAGCTAGAAGAGGGAGGAAGAGAGAGTATGTGTTTCTCAAGTGCAAAGAAAAATCTGTAGGGACACCTGACAAGTTCTGATTCTGGTAATTGTTGACCAAGCAGTTTATTTAATTGGAGCTTGTGCAGTCTTGATAACTAGCTATTGATTATCTGAGTATGGAGAGAGAACAAATGAGTGGAATAGGGGATGTACTCAGGCCTCCTACTTGTACTAGAATTGAAAAGGATTCTCTGCTCTGCTGGGCTCTCAGTGTGAGTGTAGGAGCTGGGCAATACCCAGTTGGTGTTCCCAGTTGAGAGTCAAATTTCTGGTAGACCCTGGTCTTTTTTTTTTTCTGTTACCAGGAGCTTGGTTAACCTCCAACCCAGCTCTAACTACCCTTTCTGGAAAACTTTGAAGTGATTTGTCTGGGTGTTGCCTGGGGGAGGTAGTTTCCTTATTAGAGCTGGACCTCTGTACTGGAGACCAGTTATTTTTTTGTGCAGCTGGTCACTGCCTACCAACAAGTATATCTGGAAAAAAATATAACAGACATAAAAGTCTGTATCCCATCTCTGTGGAGCTATAAGTTGCTGGAGTAGAGAGAATTGGAACTGAATCCTTTTTGGCAGGCACATGACCCACTCATAGGCTTGGCATAAAGAGTCATTGACTATGGAGAGTCTAGAACATGGGCTGTGTGACTCAGGTCAGGTGATTGGGCCTTGCCCTCTCATACCAGTCATCTATTGTGTGCTGTGTGATTCACATTTGTCCTCATGCCTGCTCATAAAATCTGGTTGTTGAAGGAATGTTGCTGTGAAGAGAGAGGATCTCCCAGTGTGAGCTCAGCAAGGTATGGCAAAAGGCATTTCCTTACTATAGAGTAAGTCACTTGGTCCTGGGCCTTTCTAGGGTACCTTTCCTGTATTCTGTTCCCTCTCAGTGGTGTTTCCTATACACCAAGCTCTGTCTGATATCCTTATCCCTTGCGTGGTCTGTCCACAGAGCCAACAGAAGGCTCCTGCAGGTGGTAGACTCAGAAAAGAGAACCTGATTGATTGAACTCCAGGGTGAAATAGGAGATTATGTGAGAGAGTGGAGCAGAGGCTAAGGACTTGTTAATAAGTGGAGTTTTTCTGTCCTGCAGCGGCTCTTAAATAAACACACTGAAGCTTATATTTTAAATGCTCAGCTGATAGCTCAGGCTTATTACTAACTAGCTCTTACATTTTAAATTAACCCATATTCCTTATTTACACTCTGCAACATGGCTGCACTTTATTAACATGACACATTCATCTCCTGCTCCCTCTGCATCTGCCAGCAAGTCCTCTGACTGCTCTTACTCACCCCATCATTCTCAGTTTGGCTTCCCAATAACTGTCTCCTGTTCAGCCACTGGCCAGCCAGCTTGTTTATTAAACCAATCACAGCAACATATATTCACACAGTGTACAGAAGAATTACTCCACAGCATTTCCCCCTTTTTGTCTAATTAAAAAGGAAGATCTTAACTTTAAAATATATACAACAAAACAGTTATCAAGTAATAATTATATTTACAATATCTAGTCTATTTGTATTTGGCAAAATTAGAAAAATGTTGTATTAACTGTTTTATCTCTAAAGTTTTACATCTAATTTATCTTTTTTATAATAATTAAGGAAAACTGTAATTT